GGAACTGGGGATTGAACTCAGGCCCTTGCGCTTGCCAGGGAAGCGCTTATTCCGCTGAGCCATCTCCCCGGCGTTTATTCAGTTTCTCAAAGGATGGTAAAGGTTCCTGAACAAAGCACAATCTGATCACTAGAAATCCTTCACAAATAAGCAAATCCTCAACCAAAAGTGGTCCTGGGCAGAGGCAATGTCCCTGTGAGACTTGAACGGTGATAGAGAGCTGGCCACAGGAAAAGAAAGGACGATGGTCCCGGGCAGAGCAAACAGCTCATAAGAAGGGCCCGAGGCTGGCGCAAGTGTCAACAGAGAAAAATGGTGCCTTCATGCAAGGGAGCTGCCACGTTCTAACAGGCAGCTCACGCGGGGCCACCATAAGGAGCTCAGGGTTTACCGGACAGTTGATGGGAGGCTACTACAGACTGAAATCAGTGGAAAAACACACTCAATTTCTGGCTAAGCTTGTATTTATGTATCTAAAAGAGCTTCAGAGATTGTAAGGGGTCAAAGGTGGAGACACAGTGAGGAGTAGTCCAGACCAGGAATCTGGCAACACGACTGCCGAATCAGCTATTTTTAAATACGGTTTAAGCCCGGGAAGTGGTGCACACCTGTAATCCCAGCATACTGTGAGGCTGAGGCAGTGGGGTCACAAGTTTGACCCACGCTGGACAACTCTGTAATTTAGCAAGAGCCCGTCTCACCTACAATAGCAAAGGCAATTCTGGACAACAAAGGCAAAGCAGGGGATATCAAAATGTCTGACTTCAAATTATACTAAAAAGCCACTGTGATAACAGCCTCTTTAATAAATGGTACTGGAAAAAATCGGCTTTCCATATGTCAAAGATAAACTAGGACTTCATCTTACTAAAAAGTTTTGGCGCAGCAGGAAAAAAACAACATCAGACTGATGAGATAACCCACAGAATGGGAAAGCTTTTTTTTTTTTTTTTTTGGTCAGTTCCTTCTCGGACAAAAGACTAGTATCTAGAATGTATAATATCTCAATAGTAAAAAAAAAAATTCAGATTCCCCCAAATTTAAAGACCCAACCCAAAACGGCTCTTTGAAGTAAAGAGACACTTCTCAGATGAAGAAGCACAAAAAACAAGTAAATATATGAAAAACTGCTGCGTATCACTGGTCATTCTAGAGGTGCAGATTAAAACAACACTAACATTCCATCTCACACCAGAAAGAATGGCTATCACCAAGAAATCAACCAAGAGCAAACGCTGGAAGGGCTGTGAGGAAAAAGGAAACCTTCTCCACGGCTGGCTGGAGCGTAGACTGCTGCAACCACTGAGGAACTCAGTGTGGAGGTTCCTCAAAAAAGCAGGACTACAGGTTCCATTTGCCCCAGATATCTTCCTGATACGATGAAAAGCACCACGGCGACATGCACACTCCCACGCTTATGGCGCTACAGTTTGCAATATCCACATCTTGGAAACAGCCCAAATGCCCATCAACTGGTGAATGGATAAAGAAGATGTGGTTTTTTAATACAACCGAGTACTACCTTGTCATAAAGAAGACGACAATCAAGACATTTTTAGGTAAATGGATACACACTTGGGATACATGCATGATTCTTTTGGTATGAGAAACCAAAACTGAAAATAAAGACCAAAATTATACCTGTATAACACGTATTGTGAAATTGGAAGAAAATGTTCAAATGAGGAGGGGATATGGGGAGAGAAAGGAAGAAAAGAAAAGGGAAAAGTAAAAAAAGCGAGAAAAAGAAAAAAAGCTTTTGTACACTGGGAGGAGTTGAAGGTAGCAAAATGGGGAAAACAGGAAACAAGTTACACCACATATAGGCGCAAATGCTTTCCCATGAGTGCAACTGCTCTGCGTACCTAAAATGTACCAACAGAATCTGATTAAAACAAACAAACAAGCCTGTCTCAAAGTAAATAACCAAACCGGAACGGGCCAGAGCCACAGACCTGCGCAGAGCCCTAGGCAGGGGGAACCTCCAGAGCCGGCGAAGTCTTCGTAGAACGTGCTCGGCTTGGGTCTAGACGCTCCCACAGGGCCTCCTGTCCTCAAAGGAGGCGCTTCTGGATCGTGGGGTGCTGTGACATTAAAGTGACGGAGGAGGTGGGGCCTTGTTGAAAGGGGGCAGTTACAGGTATCACCCGATGGGGCCTCGCTCCTGCTCCCCGGTTCCCTGGCTCTCTGCTGCTTGCCCACCGTGACCGAGCAGCTCTCCTCCGCCGAGGCCATTCCACACAACGCCTTCCTGCAAAGACTACAGACTAAACATGGGCCAGAATAAACCTCTTCTTCAGGCTGCAGGTGCCAGGCATAGTGTTCTGGCCATGAGAAGAACACACCAGGCTCCTTGTTTCTGCATGGTCTGGGCTGCCCCCGCATGATGGTGCCGCGACGAGCTGCAGAGACCGCACAGGGCACAAGGCCAGCACGCAACGTGTACTATGTGGACCTTCAGGGCAGCTGGCTCATGCCGTTTCTGCCAAGGAGGATGGAAGCCTGGATGAGTGCTTGTCTACAATACTGTCCCCCAACACACACACACACACACACACACACACACACACACACACACACACACAGAGCAAGTCTCAGGGTAGGGGCTCCTGCTCTTGAAGAAGGCACTGACAGAGAAATCCTGCGCCACGGAATTTCCCCCCGCCCACAATCCCTCCAGATCTGCTTAGGATAAGCTCGTGCTGGTGGTTGGCTACTCAAGAGGCAAACACTGCTTTAAAGACTCAGCCAGCAAAGCAGGTGGACTGCAAAGGTAAGAATGTGGCAGCGGCTTCTACCCCACAGAGGCCCGTCCGTAATGGCATGCTGCAGCCAACAGCTAGCCTAGTATAAGGGTTGTGAAAATTACTGGTCCCACGCTGGGCAGGGCAGTCACACCTAGAATCCCAGCCCTCTGGGAGACTGAGGAAAAGGACTAAGAGTTTGAGCTCAGTCTAGGAAACCTTAGTGACTCACTCAGACCTTGTCTCAACAAAAAAAATAAGGTAAAATAAAAAATGGGCCAGAGATGTAGGCTCAGTGCAAAATCCTTGGTTCAATCTCCAGAACTGCAAAACAAAAACATGGCTGAGCATGTAACTCCGAGCAGAGGCCCTGGGTTCAATCTTCTGTATTGTAACATAGAAAATATAACAGGCCCCAAACGTGCCCAGTGTCAGCAAAGATGACTCCAGTGACTCCAGAACAGAGCAGAAAGGCGCAGCGGCCGTGCTTCTTGGGAAGCCCCGAACAGCAGTCAGGCTTCGGTATCGAATCACATGCTGCCTGGGCAGACAAGCCCCTGAACTCATGAGCCGCCCTTTCCCCACTGCTTTTGAGAGCTTTTCC